ATTTCAAACCAACAAACAGGTACACCAAAAGAAAAGACAAGGTCCAGGGTGTGCCCATGCTCATGGGTAGGACCAGCCACAGATTGTGTAAGATTAAAAAAATCAAGAGTCAATAAGATCTAAAAAGGCCTTAACTAGAGGTTTGTCAGGGCAACAAACATGTATATTAAAATCCCCAATAATCACAACCTGGTCATATCTAGGCATAAAATGAATCAGGAAATCAGAAAAATCGCATATAAAATCCTTATTAAACTTAGGTGGGAGTGACCCAGCTTGAATAAGGACATCTCGAAGCTGGAAAAATAAAATCTGCTTGCATTTAAAAATCGATCTAAACACAGTCGCTATTCCCCCTCCACGGCCCGACGGCCTCGGGGAATTAAAAAACGTACAGTCTGGCGGCTGCAATTCAAGGAGAGCGCTAGACTCACCCACGCCCAGCCAGGTCTCAGTCACGCAAAGAAAGTCCAATCCTCGAGAAATAAAAAAGTCTTTTAAAACAAAAGACTTATTTGCCAATACGGGAGAGAGGAGACACCAAGTTAGTGATGTGTAATGGTGACATATAGAAGCATAGGGAGAGAGGGGAGGAGATAAACTCAGAGAATCATGGGGCCCCCCAGCAGCCTAGGCCTATAGCAGCATAACTAAGGGAAGGCTCAGGGTCACCTGATCCAGCCCTAACTATAAGCTTTATCAAAAAGGAAAGTCTTAAGTCTAATCTTAAAGGTAGAGAGGGTGTCTGCCTCCCGAACTGAGACTGGGAGTTGGTTCCATAGGAGAGGAGATTGATAGCTAAAGGCTCTGCTTCCCATTCTACTTCTGTGGATTCTAGGAACCACAAGTAAATCTGCACTCTGAGAGCAAAGTGCTCTGTTAGGATGATAAGACTCTACGAGGTCTTTAAGATATGATGGAGCCTTGTCATTAAGGGCTTTGTATGTTAGGAGAAGAATTTTAAATTCTATTCTGAATTTTACAGGGGCAGGACATATCCTGGTCAAAAATGACTCCAAGGTTCCTCATAGTAGTACTGGAGGCGAGAGCTATGTCATCTAAAGTAACTATATGATTAGATAGCAGATTTCTAACATTTTCAGGCACAAGCACAATGGCTTCAGTTTTGTCAGAGTTTAGAAATAAGAAGTTACAGGTCATCCAGGCCATTATGTCTTTAAGACATCCTTGAAGTTTGACCAGCTGATCTGATTCATTTGGCTTCATAGACAAATATAACTGAGTATCATCTGCATAGCAATGGAAATTTATGCTGTGCTTCCTGATAATATTGCCTAAAGGGAGCATGTATAAAGTGAAAATTCAGTTTCAGGAACTCGTTCCCAAACCCATCAGGAGAATTTATATGTTATTAACTATCTTTCCAGGCTATGAAAAACTCTTCTGACTTAGTGGAGCGCCACGTCCTTTCTAGTTTCATGATGCCTGCTTTAGGGAGCGGAGCTGCGAGCTGTACCGTGTGGCTAGCCCCCTCTGTTTCACTGCCTTCCTTTTCCGAGGGGCAACGGTATCAAGTGTATTACGCAGGGAGGCTGCAGTGCTATCAACAAGATTATCGACTTGTGTGGGAGTAAAGTTAAGGTGGCCTCCCTCCACTGTGTATGGCACTGAATTAAATAATGACGGAATTATTTCCTTAAACTTGGTAACAGCACAGATAGACATCTACTGTAGTGGAACTGTTTCCTACATATAGTATAATGCATTAATGTAAATTCAGAAGTTATTATAAAATGGTCAGACAGAAGAGGGTTTTGAGGAAAAACTATTAAGTGTTCGGTTTCAATGCCATACATCAGAACAAGATCAAGGGTGTGATTAAAACAGTGAGTGGGTTTATTTACAGTTTGAGAAAAGCCAACTGAGTCTAATAATGAACAGAATGCATTGTTGAGGCTGTCATTGTCAGCATCTACATGAATATTAAAGTCGCCTACTATGATTATTTTATCTGTACTAAGCACTAAATCAGACAGAAAGTCTGAGAATTCACTTAAAAACTCTGAATAAGGAGCAGGTGGACGGTATACAATAACAAATAAAACTGGCTTTTGAGTTTTCCAGTTTGGGTGTGAGAGACGCAAAGTGAGAGTATAATGAGTTATAACTATGTTTAATATATAATTTAAAGATTTAACCGTTAATTTTTCTAAGGCATTGGCCAAATGTAGCCTATTGAATAATCAAAAGATTGACACCCTTTCATCCTCATCAATTACTGTCATAATTAAAATATTCAACTACAAAAACAGTGTCCCAGTCATAGCATACAAGTATATGAGAGTGTATATGAGTATATGAGAATGTCCATACTGAAATGTAACAGTGTTGGTATTAATTGCTGTTATTTATGTGGCCTACAGCTCCCAGCCATCCTAATAAAATAAGAACGTAGGTAAAGAAAATAAATGAATGCTTTGATTCAGGCTCCTCAGAGAAAAAGGTGAATTTAGCTGTGGGAGTAAACTTGATGGGTGGAGAGAGAAAGAGGACTTTAAATTTCTTGCTAAGTACCTTGGGACAGACTCTGTAGTGTGTAGGGACCCTCTTTTTTAATTTAATTGCCTCTAAATGCTTCCTGTGCTCATGACTTATAGCCTATCCCTCTTTCTTTTTATGTTTGCTGTTGACAGAGAGCTGATCTGGCTGTTGCTCCCCTCACCATCACATACGTGCGTGAGAAGGTTATCGACTTCTCCAAGCCCTTCATGACACTGGGTATAAGTATACTATACCGCAAGCCCAACGGGACCAACCCTGGGGTCTTCTCCTTCCTCAGCCCCCTCTCGCCTGATATCTGGATGTATATTCTGCTGGCTTACTTGGGTGTCAGTTGTGTGCTGTTTGTCATAGCCAGGTAACATGTCACTTCCAGGGATCACAGCTTCACACACAGTCAGAAACATGCTTAGCTGTCATCGCTCAGCATCGCCCATCTGACTAACCACAGGTTAATCCCTGTAATTACAGGACCTGCGTCCTGAGCACACTGATGTGCTCATAGTAAAAGCTTACCACTCAGGGACAGTGCTGACACTAATCAGTGGTCATATATCAGACTTAACATAAATGCCTTCTAATGTGTTTAATGCAGTTAACCATCGAGGATCCTGTGGATATTTGCCTGTTTCCACCACAACACAATCATAAAGAATTATTTTTTGCTTGTACAATATATTGTTTCAGATTGGCATTTGGCATGGCTGCTAGGTTACACCTGGCTCGCTTCCACTCGCATCAAAAAAAAAACCTGGGGAGATACAGACATTACACAGGAGCACAGACCTTAGACACAGACGTTATAGGCCAATCAGCCATTTCAGAGTTGTGCGTGTGTGGCTGAGAATGGCAGGAAGGTTATGCACAAGTGTGTGTGTGATTTGTTGAGCTCGATGTGAATGACCACTGCCTCTCTCCCATCCTTCCCTCACTGTCCCCAGTGTCTCGGAGTTCATGTTCTTTTCTTTTGTTTCCTTCACCTTGCTTCAAACAGACTCACAGATAGGGTTTGTTGCATTTTTCTGCCTATTTTGGTGTAGTAGAGGTGAGAACACTGTCATTTAGACAGCTGTCACAACATCAGAACAGACACTGTTGGAAAAGTGGAGTCGAATGTGATTCCTGTCCCTGTGACCTTTACTTATCTGTTCTCTTACCCATGATCAGCCCTCTCTGTTGTTCATAGCTGCTGAGATTCCATAAAGATATAGCCAGATATAGCCAAATATATCTGTCCAGATCTGTTGGCTATGAAATGGGAACATCTGTCTTTTTTGCCATATAACCTTGAATATGAGGTTGTTTTAGTGTAGTTATAGTGCATCAAAGTTCTCTTATAAGTGAGGCTATGTCCTACAATTTCAGGTCTCTCACTGCAGTTAATAGGTGCCACCTAAGTTCAAATGGCACTGCAGAGAATGCCGCAGAGCTTAAATATATTCCTCCAAACGTACTTGCTGTGAACATTACTCAAGGTGCACAGGGATCTACAATTCATGTGGAGTTGCACTAATGGAGGATTACAGAAGTATAAGAGGGTATTGATATATAAAAATACAGAAACTCATTCTAACTGCTTCTAGTTTTTGTTGTGTTGGTATCACTGAGATATTTCAAAATGGGAGTTTTGTTCCAGTTTTCTACCATGACACTGTATAAAAGGTACAGTACCGGCATGGGGGTGTCAGTGTTGCCAATCCAAACTGCCACCAAGAGAAGTAATATTTTTGCTAAGACAAGAGCCAAACCTTCGTGAAGTCACTGACCCCTGGTGCCAGGGCAGGTTCAAAAATGTTATAATTTTCATCTTAGGCCTGTTATTATGATATTTTAATAAGCTTTGATAGCTTTTCAGGTGAGAAAATACACAGGGACAGCATTACAATGGTCTTATATCAAAAAAAGCCTTCTTGAAGAAGGGTCAACACAACACAGGTTTGCCACCATTTCTGCATAAAACTGGCTTTAATGTGACCTAACCTATTGTAAGAGAATCTTCCATAGATGGGAAGGTGTAGATGATACAAGCAAGTCAGTGCTATGTTGTTTGCTTTTGGGTTTGTCTACAGTTTAGTTTGACTGGTGAAATGAAACAAGATGCTATTTGTACTGATTGTCTGTGGTTTTAGTGTCTTTGCTCAGTAAAATGATTTTGGTTGATAAAACTAGACCAGTTTTTTGAGGGCTCACTCATTTCATCTTGTGGCTCTTGCTTGTAGCTGCTGTTTGAAGCATGGTGAAGAGAAAAGAGGAAGAAAAGTTCATGTTAACTTTAAAACTTTTGGGAGACATTGGCTCTCTTACAGCCATGGCCTGACAGTTTTACAGTTAACACACATGTTTTCTGATGTTACTGGCAATATGATCATACAAGAGAATAAAAAGCAGCAACTGTCATCTAAGTTGGCTCAGAATATACACCTAACTGTATTTAATATCACAATAAGTAAGTGTTTGGGTAAGTGTATAGATTTCCCAATCATTTTATTCCTTCTTTTCTCCTGTATACACAAACGCATGCTGGGCTACACTTGCATGTTTTGCTGTAGAGTGTAGCACAAAACAGTCTCACAAAATTTCTTGAAATGAAAAGCTCAATAGGCAGATTACATACGTATTATGAACGGAAAATCTGTAGAACACCCACACTGTGAAAGAATTTAGTGACAAGAACATTTTTTGTATTATGATAAGGTACTGTCAGGAATTAGATTAGTCAAGTGAACTATCAAAGTAGTGTAAATATCAAATACCTTCTCCTTCCCCCTGTAGTACTTTATTTAAAAAAAAAAAAAAAAAAAAGACAAGCTGTGTTGATATTCAAAAGACAAGATAACCTACTCTTGCCACCATCGACATGTAAATGAAAGTAACTGAAGCAAACAAATGCAAGTATGGACAGTGTTTATTGGCTTTTGCTAAGTTTTGTGTTGTTTGTTTTAGTTTTGTTTCCCAACAGGTCTCCCAAACTAAACCACAAAATATGTAACTTTGCCATCAAAAATGATCTAAAACCCTTGTCCCATGAAAATCTATTCCAGATGCTTATTTCGTAATCTGTCAGCTCTGTAGTAAACATTTGTGTAGGTTTTGGCAGAAGAACTACGTGGTTAAGGTTACGTCAGTTCCAGTAAGAGTTAATATTAGGGTTTGAAGTGGTTTAAATTGTTTTCTGTTTAAGGATAGAGGAAGACAGTGGTTTAGGGTTTAAAACACCAACTCCATTCACAACAGAGAACAACTGCTAGTGTTATGGTTGAAAGGAAAACTGTTTGGTTGGTTTCCTTTAACCATGACTTTGACTGTTGACAGAAAATGTGAAAAGGCTGGTGCACTCCCATGATAAAGTGACAGGTATCGCCGACCCATTCAATCACCAAGACTTGACCCCTACCAAACTGTATGGCTCTGAACAATGTCATGGTTTCTTTGCCTTTGCTCCTGATAGACGGTGGTTGGAATTCACAAACGCATAAGATGGTTGCTTCCCAGTTAAATGTAAACATACAGTTTAGGTCTTTGTATAAAGCAGTAGGTGCTATAATCTTTATAGAGACAATCCCTGCTTATTCTATACATCTAGGTTTCTTTCACATTTATGAAGAGTCTCGTGTGTTGTATTTCAGCTTAATCCTTAATGCCAAGGAAGTGTATTCCTTTCAGCCTCTGTTCACATATTGTACGTCATTTCTATGTTAAGAAATCACACTCATTTCAGGAAAGTTTGTGAGACCAAACCATAAACCATAAATTTGACAGGCAATACCTATACTACACATTTAAGTTCCACTGTGCTTTTATATACTGTATCAATACCCATACTGTATATGTGTGTACACATTACACATTTTATCTATGTATGCTTGTGTTTGTGCTGTTCTGTGCGACTGACTGTTGTGTGAGTGAGAGACTGACAAAGACTGATCAGGAAAGGATTGACCTACACAGTGTTAGAGTTAGAGCAGCTTCGCTTTGTCATGTGTAGGCCTATTCCACATGGGTGCACAGTTGATATGATTACTGTTATACTGCCACCTGGCCTGACATCTCTAGTTACTGATGTTAATGTTGCTGCTTGTTATTACTTGTCTTTTCCCTTTAAACAGCAGAGAGGCTGCTGCTTCAAGCACAGGTGATGGAACAGCAAAAAATCATATAGTACATCACACCTCTGCTACAGCCTCGGCATTATCACTCTGTTACACTTTGGAGAACCAAATTCCCTACATCATCTGCATACAACAATATTTTTTAAAGATAAAAGAGAGAAGTAATGGCAAAACTTTTTGACAGTAATTGATCAGAACATTTGTGGAGAATATCCCTTGCTTGTCTCTAAGTAATTATGACTTGCGATATTAACATCTAATTCTCACCTGTCTTGCTCAAAATTAAGCTTCTCTGTGTGCTAAGTCTTTCCTCCCTCAAATCAGAGTGTAATCTGTCTTTGAATGAAGCAATTTTGGTCATCCCACATGATGAGGGATGTGCTCATATTAAAGGCACATCCCTCATCATGTGGAGGAGGTGGTGAAGAGGCGGAGAAACAAACAATGCTGTCTGCTGTTAGACAAACATTGTTTACGAGGTAAAGAGGCATCTCTCTGTAACACCACTGAATAATCAGAGTGAACTGAATGCCTCTGTAGTTCCAACAGAGAGTGAACTTCACTGGTAAAACCAGCAGCTTATCTCACATCAGTGATGGCATTGTAGCACAATCTGCAGGATGGTGTACATGCAAATGATCATGAAGATCTCTCTGTCTTTTATATTATGTCACATAAGAACAAATTCTACACTTTTGTTAGTCTTGTAGTTTTTTAAAACCCAAAGTACTGCAAGATGTGGCGAATGGGTAGTTTGTGTGTTGACACCGACCCTATCCCTATCCCTTACAAAAGTTTCTTTCTGCTGTGTGGTGCAACTACATGCTGCTTCTCTGTGTTTAATTTGGACTCTGGAAATAGTTACTTCAGATGCAGAAAAGAGGCATATGGTAAAAGACAGGCATTCTGATTTACAGTACAAGCATGTTCACTTTTTCAGTATTCAGTTTACAGTATTCATCTAGGCTGTAGCAGCAATAGATTCTTTCTATTCAAAGACTATTACAATAGTCAAACTTGTAAGTGTAAAAAAATCAAAAACTACAATAGGCTTTGGAAAAAAGTCAGGTTTGCTGATGTGTTCCTTTGTCGCACACAGCATAATTTATAACCTCATCAATGAAAAGCTACACATAAAGTCTATTATCCTGTGACAGAGCAACAGGACCATTCTGACTCTGGCGATTGATCTTCCCTCAGACTGGCACTGTTATGTATATCATCATGAGCCTTTTCTGCTGGATGACCCTGCACCCACAGAAAAATAAAAGCTTCACAGTGTTTCTGCACTGCTGGTGAATTGTTCATTTTGTCCATGCTTATCTGCTCTGACCTTTCTCAGAGTTCCTCTGTCTGCAGCATATATGACCTGAGATAATGTAAAGGTAGTGTAATTGGATCAAAATGACAGCAAATGGGCTAAGTAGTGCTACAGAGAGAGACAGGTTAAGCTGCGCTGTCTCTGTGAATGATATTGGTTTAGCATTCCCTGATTCCCCTGATTCCATGACCCAGCATGGCGCTGATGACAACTTTATTTATCCATGTTCAGTGGGAGGGCTAATTGGCTTTTCACAACATGAAAAAAAGAAACAAACTCTGAGACCTCTGCATCAGGGACTGGCCACATAGTCACATACTATACACCACAGCAAGGTCACAGTTCAGCTGAACTCAATTTGGCATAGCAAATTGACAAGCAAGCAAATCTGGGGCCAAATGTGTGAGCATATGGATTGATTTAAGGCCACAGATTCTCTTAAAGCACAAATCAGTGGGACATTCAGAGGTCCTTGAGCTACACTGTACAATATCCTCCTGAGTACTGAAGGAGAGAAAACTAACCACATTATAATGGAAAAACCCATTAGTCACTGGCAGGGTACAGTTATGATCCTGCTATTTTATCGATACAGCCATATATCTTCATTCTACAAATGACAGTATTGAGCCCAGTGCTACTGTATCTTACCCAGAGGACAACTGATCAGAACCTTGGCATGCATCGGCATTATCCTCCATGCAGATGTTCCATCTACTTGAGGTTATCATTTCTGACTTCCAGCACAGTAGAAGGGCCCACACTGAAACAAGTCTACATTATGCATTGAAATTGAATTAGTCAAACCCTTGTGTCTGTTAAACAGCTTGAGTTAAGATAGGGGCCCAGTTTTCCCTCAACCCCAGCACAAACCAAATCAGGTCAGGATACTTAATTGTAGACCAATCAACCTTTACTAATGTAATGTCACTTTTATTTAACATGAATAAATGAGAACTCTCTCTGCTTCAGGAGTGTGTCAAAGTAGGTGGGGGAGTACAGGGGCCGGCGTGGGCATGATGGGAATGAACCATTTGATCTGCTGAATATTAATACTTCTGCAAGATTATAAGGATTATTAGTTCTTTTCTCAGCTGACAATAGAGTTATTTTCAGACCCCATCGATTAAATTACTGAGGGAATTGCCTTTGATATGAGCACGCCCACATGAGGAGCCACTTTTGGAATACGAGTGGTGTTAATTTGAGCCCACTCCCCAAGTACTGTATGTTATTAAAATTAAACACACAAGAGATTCAGATGAGCAGTGATTTTTGAGCCTTTGTTTTGACTAATAGGTTATTCAGTAAAGAAATCCTAATCAATGTTGTTACACAAATTCATGTAATAAACTTTTAATTTACTCATCCAATTGACATAGTATTATAATAGCAGTCTGATGTATGTCATGAAGGCATTGGGCTGCTTACTGATTATTGTGTGGATATGACTAACTAACCTTTGTTTTCTCTCCCTTGTCTCTCCAGGTGGGACAACCAATCTTGGTCTCTTTTACTTTGCACTGCTGCCTTTATGCAACTGCAGTAAACATGTGTGTCTGTTCTCTCAACAGGTTTAGTCCCTATGAGTGGTATAACCCCCACCCTTGCAACCCTGACTCGGATGTAGTGGAAAACAATTTCACCCTGCTAAATAGTTTTTGGTTCGGAGTTGGAGCTCTCATGCAGCAAGGTAGACGCCTCTGCCTGCCCCTGTTTTCTAGCACAAGTCCCACTTTTTTGCTGGGGGTCAGCCTTGCTCTTTGACCAGGCCCATGATCATGCATGGGGGGCCTCTGTGCATGTAGCTAGATGCTTCACTGATAGAGTCCAGCAGGACAGACAGAGTGGGATTTGAGTGATGTGATCAGACAATGAGGATGGCACTCCTGCATGTTCCACTTATCCATGTCCCTTCATCCCACTCCCCTTTCCCTTCTCTCTTTCCACACCTATTCACAGCCATATGAGCAGGTAAGTCTTCCTACCCAGAATGCTTGAAATGAACTAAGTGGGTGACAGTGAATGAGGATGTGAGCTCAGCAGCCCACCCTGCCTGTTTGATTTGGTTTCCTTCTGCCACCCAGTGCCATATCTTCTCAACTACTTTAGACTGAAAAATAAGATAAAAAAAAGTTTTCTAAAAAAAGTTCTATATGCTTCATTTCCTCCAAAGCAATTGGCAAAATGAGTGTTTTACAACCTTGCTTTTCAGAGTATCTTTAAGGATTAATGAATTCAGATAGAAGTTAGAAAAGTGTTAAATACTAAAATAAATGAATAAATTATACAAGTTATTCAAACTCAGGCTGTCCAATTCTGAGCTAGAAGTCCCTGCCATGTCAAAAACTGAGTTGCTGCATTTTTTTAAAGTAAGATAATTGTTTTTAAATTTGAAAACTGTTGGCATTTTTTTGACAACTTATCAACTCTCCTGACTGAGAAAGACCAAGAAAGAGTCATTTAATTTTCAAAAACAAAAAAAGTTAATGGAACCCAAGTTTTATCATTCATGTTGGAATTTTCTGTATTGAAAAGCCTTAAGAAGAAGAAAGAAAAAGAAAAACAACAAAATTATGTAGTGATTAGATTTTACAACTGCATATTCAGTTACCTTTAAGTTGCTAAATATTTTGCTGTTATATGCTTTAAAAATGATCACAGAAACATATTTTTGTCAGCAACAATTTATTTTTAAAGCACATTTAATAACAACATCCAAGGTTCTGTAAGAAAAAAATAAAAAAATCACACAACAATAAAAACAAGAGGAGTTCACTAAGGTGCTATCCAAAATAACACAAAAAAACAAATATTAGTTTAAAATGTTTGAGATCAAAATATTATGAAATCCCCCCCCCCAAAAAAAGGACACTCAAGTGTTTCTATAAACACTGAGCATAAAATATTGTATAACAAAATAACAAATGGCCATTATTTGTGTAAATGTCATGCATTTTAGCTACTAGATGCACGTAGTGTAGGTGGGGGTGGGGGGGTGGGGGGTTGACCAGTTGAGAAGATGTGACTGAACTGATGGCCAGATGGCTGTGGGATTAGACTACACTGTAGAGAGGCTCCCCTGCCTGGTGGCTTGTTCCATTCCCCAGAAAACTGTGGGATGTGCTGTTTGGTTATGACGTTACCTTGGGTACATGACACTCAGCCCCAACCAGGCTCTGTTTGGGCTTGACTTGCCTCTCTGAGTGGGTGTTCCCTCTTTTCTGTTCTGCTTTCTGAGGTGGAACAAGATAAGAAGCTCGGAGCTGGTAACATATCCCACATTAGAAGAAACCTGCAATTGATAGCTAGCCAAGACACTGACACTGCTAACAGTACTGATGAATATGTGTTTGTGTTCATGCCTGGTTCCTTGATTTTAATTCTTGGCTATGGTTTGATGAAGGGGCAGAGTGGGTGGCCATGCTGGGGAACTTTGATACCACAGTTGAGCTATGTCTGACAGCATGCATGGCTGGTGGCCAGTGTCTATTTGGGAGATTATACCACTGGTAAACTTATGTTTTAAGTGATAACATAGATGCTAAGGTCATTGCTTTGTTATTAACAGCAGGGCCAGCCTTAGCTTTGAGTAGGTCTCCTGTGAGATTGGCACATCACAGGAGGCTCTCTGTGTGTAATTCTGTCAGTTATCAACCAGACCAACCATGATACAACTTAGTGCTATGATCTGTAGATTTCTGTCTACCAAACACCTAAAACTGAAAGGAGTGTAAAGACAAGTTCTATATCACTCAACACTCATAACGAATATGCACAGGGGACAACCAGCGACAATTAGAAAACATATCACAATGATCTTGAGTACGCTTGAGTATGCTTTATGCTGGCAGGGAACTATTTTCACACCACACAAACATGTTTTAATGCAACTGGTAAAATCATTCATGCTAGATTTGCCAGTTAAGGCGAGGAAAGGCAAAGGCAAATTTGTACAGGCATTTCCAAGTTCTTTACAACAGACAAATATATTAAGCCAAGACATAAACTAAACACAAGGGAATGCAAAAAGACCCACATCAAGAGAACTTAAAAATAACAAAATGGAATAGAGGATAACAAAAATTAAATCAGTATAAGTCTGACTTATTAGAGGAATAAAAAGCTAAAGACCAGTGGTTAAATTCATAAAATATGTATGACTCAATAGCACAGTAGCACAGAAAAAACGAAGCCTCAGCTGATGACTGAGCAGACCACAGTCCAGGTGTTTGCTTTAGACACAGTAGGAAATGCATAAAGAAAGAATACTGCTTCTCCCTGATTAGTTCCGACTCTGGGGGCAGCTGACCTGTCCAGAATGACTTCAGAGGTTTGCATGGTTCATCACATAGCATCACATCAGAGATATACTGTATATTCACTCTAAACCATTCAAATCAGAAGTCTGACATAGAAAACCAATGGAAAGGTCTGAGAACTGGACTGATGCACGAGTGCTGACTTTTAATCATTCTTCTTAAACACCAAAGACAGTCACAAATATAACTGCACGAATCTGCATATTGTCACATGATTATGGTCATAATTCATAATCTGAACTAGTGGCAGCATGTTCAGACAGGGAACAGCACTTTCATCCATAGGATATGAGGGCTCATTGAGTGGTTTGATGACTATGAGCATGATGTGAATCATGTGCTGTGGCCGCCACAGTCACCAGGTCTCAACCCAGTTGAACAGCTATGGGAGATGTTGGACTGATGTGTTAGACGGCATCTCCACCGGCATCATCAAGACATCACATGATGGAATATCTAGTGGTAAAAATGCCTGTAGAACGAGGCTACAAAATGCACCCTTGGGAAACTTCACATCATTTTTGTCCCCTCAAATGTGTAATTACTGATCAATACAAAGTAGTTCCTGTCCTTCAAACAGGATTCAGACCAATTTCAGTTTGTACCACAAAGCTTCGCACTGACTTCTACTTTGTCTAGCAATGTTTTGTTTGACCGCGTGAAGTGCAGCACTGAGATCCAGCAATACTAACTAACTAATTAAATGGGGCTTCTAAGCATCCACTCTATAGTATGTAGTAATGGCATGCTGACAGTTTGCCATAAACTACATGGACTACCTTATGAAATGAATGATTAACACGGAAGCTTTCATTTCTTTAAAAAGTGTATTTTCAACACATTTTGTGCACATACATTTGAATGTAACACTGTACGAGTAGGTGTAGTGTCAGTGCTCCTTTCTATGAGCTTGTGTGCTAACAGTAAACACATTAAGGTACTTGTGAAAAGAACTGACTGCATTACTGTCATTAAAACAACCACTGCTAAACCTGATCTACTCCCAGGTTAAACATGGAGAGAGGAAGCCTGGGAGGTGTGTGCCTGCCTCTAGCTTATTGTTCCCTCTCCATTGCGGTATCTATAGCAGTGGATTTAAGATGCTGTTAGCTGTTTCTCCCTGCATGCTTCCTGTACTAGACAGTTCACTCAGGGGACTGTGAGAAAGAAAGAAAGTTTGATGAGAAGTGAGAGTGCAGATTGAGTCTCACCCAAAGGGAGTTAAGCACTGAGCTCTTAACCTTCTACCTCTCTGACTCTTTATCAGCTTTTCCTGTGAGTGAATCTGTAAAATCCCGTCTTTCAATTGCTTAAGCTGCTTGAGTAGAATAGTCCCATATAACCCAGGTCCACCTTTTTTCACCCAGACAACAAACTTAACTCCTGCTCTACCCACACACACACACTGTATCCTCCTTCATGCTCGGCAGACATTCTGCTTGAAACGTGAATGAAAAGCAGTCAGATTTACTTAGGATTTAGTGAACTTATAAGACATAACAAACAGTGAAAGTCAGTGATGCTGTGCTAACCTAAATAACTCACTGTTGAGAGTCCAGTCAGACCAGCATTTATGGCAGCAGCATTTCTAGAAGAAAACCCATCAGAATTATATAGGGTAAGCAGATCCACACAGATCTTAAGTAGAGCATAGCTTTGGTGAACCATATGCTGTTGGGCAATTGCTATTTAGTATGACAGCATTGATCACTGGGGGACCAAAGAGCTGAGTCCAAAAGCAGAGGAAGACAAGAACTTTAACTGCATCCAATCCACCCTTTTAACAGCATGTGGTCACAGCACAAACAGTACTGGTAAAATAATTTGTTGTTATGGCTGTTATAAATGTTAAATGCTTGAGGTTGAAAATAAACAAGAAAAGGACACGGGTCTTCCCTGAAACCCTGCTGAGCTCAACTAGTTTTCCACAGTTGTTCTACTCATTCACTGCAGTGTCGCTCAACCAGCTGCGTGGCTGGGACGCCAACTGTGCATGAAACTTTGTTTCTGCTTCAGTTAAGTCTAACATGCAGGCAGAAAATAAACAAAAAATACTTAAAAGATGACGGGCAACCTTCACTGTCCCTCATTATAGTAGCAACTGAAAGTTTGTTTTTGCATTTACATGCAGTATGCCACTCTGTCTGTTTTCTCTGCTCAAGCACTCTTACCCCTGGTGTCTGAACCAATCCATCAAAATGACAAATGACAACCTGTGAATGTGACAACACATTGCACCACAATAAATGGTTTGTAAAATTGAAGTCTCAAATAGTAAAAATAGTTCATCGCTTCAATAAACTGGGTTAAATATTTGTCTAGATAAGGAACCTTCTCAAATGTTAGTTGTAGAAGAGGCAGTACAGTAAAGTCAGACAGTCCCGAGCGAGGCTTCCCACTCTGTCCACTTTGGGTGTCTGTGTCTGAGTGTGTGATCCAGGCAGCAGATGTAGAAGGCTAGCCTACCCCAGCCTGGCCTGGCCTGGGTGCTGCTCCCTTGCCAGCATAATATAGTACCAAGCCTCAACCCCTCCTCTGCTCCTCTCGTTCAGGATCTGAGCTTATGCCGAAAGCCCTCTCCACCAGAATTGTAGGTGGAATCTGGTGGTTTTTCACGCTCATCATCATCTCCTCTTACACGGCAAACCTGGCAGCCTTCCTCACTGTGGAGAGGATGGAGTCACCCATTGACTCTGCTGATGACCTGGCCAAGCAGACAAAGATAGAATATGGCGTGGTAGAAGATGGCTCCACCATGACCTTCTTCAAGGTTAGTTGCAACCGGTTATTATTAAACCAACTACAGTCTTTTCTACTGCAGTGTTTTGTAGCTGTGCATCATCCAGTGACATACAGGTATGCAGCGTGGGTTTGTTTGAGATGGTTGTTATTTTGTAGATAGATTAAATATGCTAGAGCTGCATGGTAAATATTAGTCATGCTTATTTTTACCTATAAATGCACCAGGGTTCTTAAGTTGGTAAAGCTTTTTAGCAAATACCACAACTCTTCACTGTAAATGATACTAATGTAAAGCTAAGAGGATTAATTCCCTCAGTGTGAGCAACCTGACTGGATTAATACAAACCTACTGACCAACACTAGACTATACCTGGCATTATAGAAAATACGAATAACAAACCCAAACCCACTTAATAACCTTTCTTCTGTTCACTGTTTCTAGGCACCACATATAGAAGTTTTCCAGAATGAAAAAGTTCATTTATTTATATTTGAAACATTACATTTATTAACTAAAAGAGTGATTGTGATTTAGTATTGCACTTCATTCATGCACTCAATACTGGGCAACTTGTTAGAGACAGTTTAAAAATTAATGGACAAAATCACTGGGTCCTAGAGCTCCCATATTCCACCTATTATCTTCTGTTAGACCTTCCCTACCTGGTAACAGGATTTCAAACTCCATGCTCCCGTTTTGTGACGGGAAGGTCTATAAAAAATGTGCCTCTAAGACCAAAATCTAGACTACAAATCAGTCAAACTGTATTGCCTGTGTGATTTTCTCTACACTTAACAGGTACACAACACTTTCTAAAATGCATATGGCTATTAGAAAAAATATGTTATTTGATCTGTGTATAAGGCTCAGAATACAGGTGGAGGTAGTTTGGTGATCATGTATTCTGAAGGATGACATTTACATGACCACAAATATATAATTTTTCATGTGAGGACAGTGTCATTGTCAAATGCCTCTTTAAAGCCATAGAAGACATTTTACAACAGCTTCCACAGTAGAGACCCCTTAGTAAAGAGCGAGGTGGCTCTCACAGTCTTTCTTTATTAGTCAGTTGGTTGTGGAGAGGTAGGCAGAGACTTGCAACAGAGCTGTCAGCGGTCAAAGTCAAACTGCTGATGTCCTGAACCCCGAAGAGATAGATGGTGCACTATGCCATAACCACTCAGCTACAGGGTATCCCAACCTAATGGACTTTAAACTCTTCATCGGTTGTCTCATTTTTAGCCACACAGTACCATAGCTGTGTGTGTGGAGTGAGATACCCAGACTAATACTGGACAATTTGCCATAACATTTTCTACAGATATCTGGTTTGTACAAAAGTCTAGTGATAGAGTCCTTGATTCTTTTTATTCAGCACCATCAGCAAGTAATTTTTCCATTATCTAGGGAAATATTTTACCTTGTACTAGTTAAACTGAAGCAACATTTGGTAAAGAAATGTCATGGTTTTCCAGAGGATAGATTAGAATAACAATAGTAATTCTTTCACATTAATTTCTTTAAAACAGCTTTGAAATGTGTTCCCTGTGAGCACTTTGCCAAAACTAATAAAGGTGTTCACTATAGATTTTGACACAGGGCCCCTCTACAAGGCAGAGTCTCAAAGATGAAGCAATAATTCAGAACCTGACAGAGGTGTACTTCCCTCACACTAATGAAATACTACTGAACGTTAATGAATGACATGAATTAATCACATATCTAAAGAGTGCAGCTAACTGGAGGCCTTTGGAGTCAGTCAAGGTCTTACTTAGTAGTTAGTTATTGCAAGCATTCACACCTACAGGCAATTTCCACTTTACCTAACATGGATGTCTTTAGACTGCAAATCCCAGAGAGGTGCTGGGGCGATGGGGCATTTTCAGACCTTTAAGATGAGGTGACAGTACTAATCACTCTCAGTATGTCACCATGATGAAATACTGCTGTACATTTTGTCCATTGACATAGCCTGGAAGCATGTATAGAAATACTATAGGATCATACTGAATAAATGGTATGCTGCATATTATTAGCCCCTGCAATATCGAGGGTGTTTTCTGCCTGAGATCTCTTTAATTTCTCACTGGTGTGAATCCATTGATGGCGCTCAGACAGCTTTGAGATTTAACTTTGTTTCACACGTTTTTTGCCTCCATCTGTGCAATAAGCATACATGTTCACAGGTATTGTTCACATACAGGGACACAGTTGTGAGTAATATGTTTGTGTGATTCTTCACGCTAAAATATGCTCACACCACTTCATTAAAAAAAACTGCTGTGGTGGTAGTTGCACAGTCTCTTTATCATTTCACTATACAAAGTAATGAAAACAATAGTTGGTGTAAGAAGTAAAATATATGCTTGTTAATCATCTTAGCTATGCTAAGATCCCTCTGCAGCCTCAGGTCAGACACTGTTATAGATAGATAGATAGATAGATAGATAGATAGATAGAAATACTTTATTAATCCCAATCTGGGAAATTGCATTGTTTAGTGCAAATCAGTTCTGCATTATGGACTAGGTTGGTATACAGGCACAGAATCATACCAGTACTGATTACCATTTTTCTCAATTGTTTGGATGCACGAGTCTCAGTTGTAAGAATGTTTTATTTTTAAAAAGAGCAAACATTTCTGACCTTCACCACACTCACATAATGGTGCCTATCATTTGTTAGCTAACAATAAAACATCACAATAATATACATTTTTAGTAGTAATCAGCCAAACCATTTTCAGTGGCAAAGTATCATATCATGTCTATATTTAGACATACAGACCGGTTCAGGTAGAGGTTTGTCAAACTGCTCAGTTGTGGTTGTTTTGAGTGAAAGTGGACCCAAACAGAAGGGCTGAGCTTTCTCTTGTTCAGTGCTACAGTGCCCCTAGCTGCAATGCATGATTGCCGCTCATTACAGTTTTTTAGGTGACACACTCAAAAACACTGCAAAGCATAAAATCAGTCTTTCTTTCCCTCTCACGTAACCTTTATTTCTTTATTTCCTGTGTGGTTTTGGTTACGTTCACTCTCTCCTTTTCCCTGCAGCTGTGTCTCAGAACTGCAGGCTGCAGTTTCACCATAGTTAATGCTGTCTCCTTCCTGCACGTACCATTATTTAAGATGGGCATCTAAAGTCACACTATTATCAAACATTCATTCATTCATTTTCTACCGTTTAGTCCCTGAACGGGGTCACGGGGGGGGATGTGGGAACAACCACACACACGCACATGCACTCCTATGGGCAATTTAGAGACACCAATCAACCTAAGCTGCATGTCTTTGGACTGTGGGAGGAAGCCGGAGTACCCGGAGAGAACCCACGCAAGCACGGGGAGAACATACAAACTCCACACAGAAAGGGCCCAGGTGGTTTGCCAGTGAAGTTTTTAATCTTTTTGTTGTTGATGTTGTAACCTTAGCACCATATTGTTCAGCTAAGTCACTGCGGTCTTTATCTACAGTTTTAAACTATCATATTCATTTCACTAGCAGGGACCTGCTCTTGCTTGGTATGAATGGAAGTATAAAGATAGACAATGTGAACTTGATGGATATGGGTAAAGCTAAGGAGGTCCGCGCCGCTCTCGGGCACTGGCAGCCCCAAAAAAACCTTCAAACAAATAAATGCAATTCAAAGGGTTAAGAGTCTCGAGGTTTAATTCAATTCAATTTAAATTCAGTTTATAGTATAGCATCAATTCAAGATGATAAGAAAAACTCAAGAAATCCCCCTTGAGCAAGCACTTGGTGACAGCGGGAGGAAAAACTCCCTTTATTGGAAGAAACCTCAGACAGACTCCAGCTGTTGGTGGGCAGCCTTCTGCCTCAACCAGTTGGGGTGAGTAGATAAAGTAGAAAACCTTGAAGATAAGAAAGAGACATGAATCAACAAACCATTTCATGGTCCACAGGCCCCTAAAACCAGCAAAGGAGCCACTAAGTAGGGCAGGCAGGGAGGGGCCCAATGCCAGAGTAGGTGGCCAGAGCTGCAGGTAATCCAGTACCCGCGGCCAACAGGTTGGGGGCAGCCCGGTGCCAAAAAAACAAGAAAATGAGGAAACAAATGGGGGAGAGAACAGGTGGCCCAGCACCCAGAGGTCAGGACAGCAGAGGAAACAGAAAGTCTAGCCAAAGGCAGAGAACAAAAGACTGCAGCCACACCAGTAGAGGAAGAGGGGCGGCCCCTGACAGGAAAAAATCATGGTCCTCAAACAGCCTGCACAGATGTGGTGTGAGTTAATGGCAGAGAGCCTTCGGGGAGAGGTGAGAGGAGCGCGTGGGGCCGGCAGACTTGCTTCAATCCAAAGCAACCAGGTTAAGAGGACCGTTTGACAATGGAGCAATGGTATTTGGTTACTTGTTTGAATGTGGCAAAACTGTGCATCTGAGAAACAGTGTGTGGAAGTATTTTGGGTTCTTCACTGTAAATTTAAAAACTACCCTTGAAAACAATGCATTGACATTAGTTAAAACAAATTAAATGCTATTTTGAATTTGTTCAAACTTCATTTTTGGAAAAAGTTAATTCACACCTTCCAGCCAACTGAGAATCGAGAATTCTCAGTGACCATGAGATCAATTTTTAGGAGTCATCTATATACAAGACAGTATATATACTTGCTATATGTAATATGTACTAAATAAACCACAACAATAACTCATGTAAGCTAGTAGCAGCTTACTAACTTCATAACTGCATGGGTCACCTAGTTTAAACTATGGCCAAAAACCCAAATGTCTCCAAGCTACAAATATTGTTTTTATATTCTATATGATAATTAATTTGATTATATATCTGAAAACAATGTTTGTAGGGTCAACTCCTCTGTTTGGTCAAATAAGCTACAATACATTGTATTACAAAGGTAAATGCATAAATAACAACAGCTTTTAGCAAGAAATGGTTGCCTCTCCTTGTAAAATGTAGTCCATCCATCTATCCATCCATCCATCTTCATCCGCTTCATCCAAGACTGGGTCGTGGGGGCAGTAGTCCAAACAGAGCTCCCCAGA